TGTATTTTTATCCTATTATTTCTAGGTTTTAGTTTGCTATAAATTACCCCCATTTAGTTCTTTAAAATTCAGATTTGAATGTTGAGTGAACTTTTTCTAGAACTCTCTAATTTCTGCCCTTTCTTTCGTCCCTTCGATCTATATTTTCTTCTTGTTCTACTGTTTTGCCCTTTCTTTCGTCTTTTTGATCTATATTTTCTTCTCCTCAATCCTTTATGTTCTTTTCTATTCTATTGTTTAAGTGCTTAATCTAATACCTACGGCCGTGCTACATCACCTCTCCTTTGATCATGATCATGAATGGTTCTTCAGAGAAAGGATCTACAGCGCAGCCAAACATCTTTCTTCACAACTAGTCTCATCCATTTAATTCCAGCTCTTGTCTAATCTGGCAAGTGGAGGGATAGGATCATTAATCAAAGATCAAAGACATTAGAACACTATTACCATGTGGAGAAAAGATCATTAATCAAAGATCTAAGAAAACACTAGACAAGTGCCACAACTGCCTCGTACGTTGATCAAAAACATTTTGGGTAATATCAACTGCAGCCCCACCTTGAATTAGTGTAGTGCAACATTGGGCAATTGTTGACCCACAATGACAGAGACCAACCACCCTCATCCCCTCCTTTTTATCCCCACCCAACCCACATGTGGCTCCAACTTTTTATATTTCTTTTCTTTCTTTCTCAAAGTCAGCAAAAGTGCCACAGAAGCAAAACGTTTCAGTTAGGCTTCCATGCCACAGAAGCGAAAACCCTGCTACAAGTCTAACCCGGCTAACCCGAACTTAGGATTAAAATAACCACGTCTTCCAATATGCCAAACCCAAAAGTACTCCAAATTCGACAAGCTCCAGTAAAAGTATATCCCGTTTACCTAAATCGAATACCGCGAAACCTACCATGACAATCAGTGACAGTCCGCAGATATCTTTTCCCCTTTTAGAAGAGAGGGTCCGGGTTACTGTAGTCTCTGCAGCACATGCACAATTTTGGGATGTGTATTATTACTAACATGTCATCAATCATTTTTCACCCTTTACTCACTTGCATTTCCAGATGACAAAGCATGTAGCTGCTGAGAAACAAATAAGCATGAAACTAGGCTGTACAAACATAAGTGCACCAGATATACCAGGCACTAATATTATCCAGTACCTGCGTTGCATGTGATGTGATCGCTAGCAGGACTCAGTTAGCAACCAGAACGGATATTATCAATGATCAGCAAAGACCACAGTAACCAACATAGTCACACTGCACATAGATACAAAAACATACATGGAAAGATCAATTAGAAGAATGTATATTTTTCCTGATGGGATCCAGCTCCTCTGCATTTCCAGACAAATGGAGAAAGCCAGTTGAATCCAAACAATAGATCCCCATGTGACACATCCGAATTCAACGGGCCAGCACCAAATGGTGGTTCAACTTCAAATTACAACTGGTCCCACACAAATGGAGAAAGCCAGTGGAGATTCTTTTCCACCTTTATTGATTTGACAATTACAATGCAAAATTTTCTTGATGGGATACATTTCCTATGCAAATGGACAAGGCCAGTTGAAAACCAAAGATAGATCCACATGGATTGCGGCCCCAATTCAATGGGGCCAGAAACATGTGATGGTCCAGATTAGAGAACTGGTCCTTCTCATTTGATGTACAGGTGGAGAGGATCGCTTTCCATCTTAATGGCCTAATGGCTCTGGAAAACTGTTCAAACTTAATTGATGGGTACTAAAAAGCAAAAGACTCTACCTAAACGGATCTGATTCTAAGTAATAACAAAACCCAATCAAATCCACTAGAAATGGCTTGAATTATAACAAAACCTGAACTTCTGATCAGA